ACATGTTGTGGGCACGAGCTGTAGATTGGTCTCTTGGTAACATCGGTTAGTCTTTAATCATTTATAAAGACAGCAAATGTGCAATGTTTTTTCTTCCTTCAGAAAATATCGGCGGAGAATTGCGAGACGAGTTTGAAAAATGGTTCTATTTTGCGGTGTCCTGTCCCGTGGAGGGTGGACGTGCATTTGATTCGATCAAGAATGCCCTTAGAGCAAGGAACTATATTGTAGCTGCTAACTTGGTCGGAATAGTAGGGTCGTTTACCCAGGTGAGTTCGAACCGCACTCCTACATTTTCTGCGGATTCTGTGGATTAGAATCTAAGTCTAATAGACTAAAATTCTAATCTTTTTTTTTTTTTTGCAGAAATGTCACGACATCGACTACGCTATGGTGAACCCAGAGCAAGAATTAGTGCTGAAATGGACGAAGGCAGTGATGAAGGATGTTCCCATGGAAGCTTGAACATTGTCTGTCTTTGAGCTGATTTCTCTTGATTTGTATGTTTTATCAGGTATATTAACAAATACTTGATTTTTCAAAATTAATTCCGATGTGTCTTCGTTGTGGATTTATCTCTATCCCTGTTCTGCTGCCTACTCTTATGCCTTCGATATGTATGTTAGAGCTTTATCTTTTCATTATCATTACCGGTAGAAATTTTATACCCGATGTTTTTCAACTATCTATAGACTCAAGTTTAGAGGAACGGCAGCTATATATAAATCCATGTGTAAGTGTTGAAGGGGAAAATAAAGCTTTGTTGAGGAGCCTCAATATCCTGTTATCCACTACTCAACTCAGTCGTATCAGTGTAACTTTTTCGATTTGCACCAGTACAAGGGCACCAAGCTGGATTTATCCTTTATGAATTGCCTTAACAATTTGTCACATCAACCTTATTATATACTCCTCCGTGACGGTTTACTGTTCAAAATTGGCTATTGGAAGAAGTAAGTACTACCGCTGCCAATGGTCAGATTACAATTCTAAAAAGAAATCCGAATTTAATATCAACTTCCATTCTAATATTGCATTTTTGCCGCTTGCAGCTAAAGGATAGCTAACCCCGATGGTGAGACACGCCCTTAGAAGAACACATG